AACACAGATATATATATATATATATATATATATATATATATATATATATATATATATATATATATATATGTATGTATGTATGTATGTATGTATGTATGTATGTATGTATGTATGTATGTATGTATTCTACAGGATTGGCTTTTCCTCCATGAGTACATAGTACATTTACCATGACTGAATCACTGGTTGGAATTAAAGGGGAACAATTGGTAAGTAACAAACACAAGAGCATTGAGAATAGTTGATGCAGAAAACCTTTTGCTGTCACTACCATGATATATTAGTCACCCAAAACTGAGTCATAGGACATAGCTGCCATCGAAGCTCTTAAGACATCAAGCAAAGTACTCAGGACTACTCTCAAGCAAAGTACCAGCAAAATCCCAACAATTTGGAGTCTGCTTGTGTAGAGAACAATATCCAAAGTTAATCTATATATTTAATGTCATTGTAATGCATTATGAATGCAACAGATTGATAAGAGACTGCAAAACAATGGTGAATGCAGCTGAGTTATTCAGCTGTGATTTCAGGTAAAGTAATCTACTGATCTACAGACACAAAGTGGTTGATCAGAATTCACCTCATCTCCCAGCTCAAAACAAGTCTGAGAGCAAGCATTGAACACTACAAAAACTTTGGCACCCCCATCACAAAACATCTTGATCTGGATTGAAACACAGGAGCAGAACAGGACCACCTTTGCAAGGACAAGACTAGCTCTTTCTCAATGTCTGTCACCTCCACCATGAACGGACAATAAGAAGATAGCTGTAAAAGATCAAAGGATGTAGCACATGAAGGACATACGTCAAACAATTTTGCCTAAGTTGGAGCAAGACAAATCATTGATCTTGCCCATAGCTTGATCTGGTACAGGAACCAGAGTGATGAAGAAAATATGCATGATCCTTGAAGTCCAGCGTATATATGCAGTTGTTGTCCTTCAATAACTCTTTTGAGTTTCTCCAAAAGGGATCTGAAGAACTGAATTCAATGAGACTTTTGTTGGAGATGGAGGAGCAAGAAAAAAATATAATATTATTATACGAGTAAAAAGAATCCTTTCGACTCAAGAAAACTGACGTAGTATTTAAAAACAGGAGGATTGATAAGAACACTTACAAGATACCAAATGCATACTCTCTCTATATTTCTTACTTCATGAACTATGGTTTTATAGGACCTAGTGACAACCACCCTATAACTACTAGATTAAGGTAGTTATTGAAATCACCCTATAATTACTAAATCATGATTGAGGTGGTTATTGAAATCATCCTGTAACCACTAGATCATGATAACTATCTAGATATATAACTATGAATCAAATCTCAATACTCCCCCTTGATTCATAGTTGCATACACCAATTTGCGACATAAAATAAACATGCTTTCGAATTGGAAGCGATTTCGTGAAGATATTCACAATTTGTTCATCCGTTCCACAATACTTCATTGTTATGGATCCACTTGCCAGAAGTACTCTTTCGATCATCTAAAGCTCCTGCACAATCACTATCAATGAAACTAAATAATTTGTATTTAAACTTTGTTTTGAATATCCATTTTAATCTAATAGATTTCTTTTCTTTCGATAGATCCATTAGCTCTCATTCTTCTCAATTGACTTGATTTCCTCCTTCAATATTTTTCTCCATACCTTTTTTTTAACTGCTTCCTCAAAAGTTGTTGGATCTGAAATAAATAAAGCAAATGTCTAGTTATGTTGGAATCTGCATTTGTGTTCCACCTTTATTGGTCTCCCAATTCCAACTTGCCCTTTCATCAAATATAATATTTCTGTTAATAATAAATTTGCCACTAATAGGGTTATATAATCGATATGCTTTCGATTGTAAAGAATAACCAATTAAAATATATTTTTTAAATTTTTCATCAAGCTTGTGATGATTTTGTGAATTCACCAAATCATAACAGCCTTTGTTGGTGAAATATTCAACAAATAATCATACACATTGCCCACTTCCGATGTGGAACTAATGAGATGTTATTCACGCCCTGATGAGTTCTCGACTCCATCCACGGGTAGCCCTTTCCTACTCGAGCCATCTCACCCTGCCCAAATGCTAGGTTGACTTTGATACCAAATATCACGACCCGAGTCTGATGAGCCAACTAGCCAATAACTCTATTTTGGTCCTTCAACCACGGACCAAAATGCTTAAGCAAGAGTTTACGTAGTATACTCATCAGACCCATATAAGCTAATCATACACATTGCCCACTTCCGATGTGGGACTAATGAGATGTTACAGCTACGGGTGTATATGGTGCTGTCAATTATCTGTAAATACCATTTTCTTCACAAAAGAAATTAAACTCATTAGATAAAAATTCACCACCTCTATCTGTCCGAAGTGTCTTTATATATCTACCACTTTGCCTTTCTACAAGTGCCTTAAACTTTCGAAAATTATCAAATGTTTCAGATTTCAATTTCAAAAAATATACCTAACTCATGCGACTATAATCATCTGTAAACAATAAAAAATATTGACTTCCACAAAATGATTTTGTATTCATAGGTCCACATAAGTCAGCATGAATTAATTCAAGAAAATTAGATGCTCTCCATGATTTTCCAATAGGAAATGATTTTTTACTTTGTTTGCCACAAATACATCCTTCACATACATCAAGTATATTAATCTTAGGCAATCCGAAAACCATTCCTTTTTGACTTAACAACCTTAAACCTTTAATGTTAAGGTGTTCATATCTTAAATGTCATAAACTAGACTTATTCTTTTGAGTTGTAATAAGTGCATGCCTTTCAATATTTGACACATCAAGTGGAAACATCTTGTTTTGTATCATGCAAATATTTATTATAATCAAACCAGATTTTTTATCTCTAATAATGCATAAACCATTATCAAATATTACTGAATATCCATCATCTAATAATTGTCCAACACTCAACAAGTTATGATAAAATAGGAACAAAGAAAACATTATCAAGGTATTTTACCTTCCCTTGATTTATCTTCACCTCAATTGTTCATTTCCCTTCCACTTGGATTTGCTTATTATCTCCAAGTCTAACATTCAACTTGTGAGTTTCATCAATATCGCTAAATATTGATTTTATGTCTGACATATGATTAATACATCCACTATCCAGAAACAAAATATCATTTGAGATATTATGAACTTGTGAATGAGTCATAAACAACTTACTATTTTCTTCATTTTTCTCCACATAGCTTTAGTTCATCAAATAAATAAGTAAATAAATCTTTTGATTCCTCAATTGCGGCAACAATATGATCAAATTTTGGAGTTAAACTTCTCAAAACTTTTGCAACAATTATATGATCAGGAAGATGTTCACCATAAGATTTCATTTGACTAACAATTTCAGTCACTCGAGAAAGAAAATCTTGCACCGATTCATTACTTTTCATGAATAAAATTTTAAACTCACGACGGAGAGTTTGAAGTTTTACCGTAATCACCCTTGATGAGCCTTGAAATTCATTTTGAAGTATCAACCAAGCTTGCTTTGAGGTTGTCACTGTTGTAATTCTTGAGAAGATCGTCTCATATACAGCTTATTGAATGAAGAATAATGCCTTTGAGTCCTTCTGATTTCGTCATTTGGATCCGCATATCCATTCTCTATTAAGTCCCAAAGATCTTGAGACTTGAATAGAGTCTTCATCTTGATACTCGCTTTGATACCACAAATGTTGTGGATGAAGGAGCAAGGAAAAAACAGAATACTACGATACGAGTAAAAAGAATTCTTTCGACTCAAGAAAACTGATATAGTATTTAAAAACAGGAAAATTGATAAGAACACTTACAATATACCAAATGCACACACTCTCTAGATTTCTTACTTCATGAACTACGATCCTATTTATAGGAGCTAGTGACAATTACCCTATAACTACTAGATTGAGATAGTTATTGAAACCACCTTATAACTACTAAATCAAGGTGGGTATTGAAATCATCCTGTAACCACTATATCATGATAACTATCTAGATAGATAACTATGAATCAAATCTCAACAACTTTTGTATAAATTAAATATCATGAACTTTGCATGTTAATTCTGATCCTATATTTTAAGTACACATATCCCACACAAAATATGAGTATTGATAAAAGCTTATAATATAGGTAATGGAATGAAAATTCTATATTATTTATATATTTTAATCCTTAATTAATCTATGAGGATGAATCGTAGATTTATATATATGATTTGCGTATATGATTGAGGAAAATCTTTTCCTCACTACTTATATAAATACGTATTACCTTAATAAATGAAATAATCCTTTTCATTACAAATTCAAGCATGGGATCTTTAATTTGGATTCATATTAAAAAATATATTTTTTTAATCTATTCAATTTAACTCAAGTCAAAATTTGAAACAAATGGACGACTTAAATAACATATGAGGTTAAGAAAAAATCAAGAAATGTATTCAATAATTCTGTTTTGAAAAGTGGATAAATCCACAATTAAGAAGACACCAAATGTGGTTGAGAAGGATTTTTGAGAACACAGTATTTGTAACAATAATCATTCTCAATTTTGTTACAATTCAGCTCAACTATAACTAGTTAAAGTTATTATTAATTAATTTGATTTTGAGGTTCCAAATTTATATTTATAATACCTTTAATATATGTGCAAATGTTAAATGTTATATATATATATATATATATATATATATATATATAATACAGTTTTCCAAGTCCAAATTTAACATCGGCAATTCATTTCATAGTCCAGTCTCTCTAATTGTCGAACAATCAAATATTAAACTCTCGTTCAAATCCTTCTACAACAATATACATATATATTTCTATATATTATATAAATAACAAAAAGAAACCGAAGAAAGTGAAGTCAAGAGGGGAGAAAAGAGCAGCTTTACACGGTCAAACATTGGGGACGACGGAGGGAATGCCGGCGGCTAACTTGCCCGTCGTCGAGCCCTCTCCCTCTTCCTTTCTCACCGAGCCCTCTCCCTCCCCTCTCCTTCTCCCCGCCCACGTCGGGACCTTTACAGAGAGCGTCCGCAACAAGACCGACGACCACCGGTCCAGCTTCTCGAGCTGGGCGCTCCACCCACCGCGGCTGCTCCCCTCTGCGCCGCACCCGCCAGAACCATGCCGGGAGCACTCCCCACCGGAGGTCGGGAACGTGACACAGCTCGCAGACCGATCGAGCTTCCTGGCGGCGAAGATCTCCTTCTGTATGTGCTCTGGTAGCCGGAGGGTGTACCGATCGAGGTCCTCCTCTGGCCGGACCACCGAATGCCCGGTCGAGTGAGACCGCGGGAACTTCGGCGGCCGACGCCCGGATCGCGACCTAGCTTCTCGCGTTCGGCTACCGATGCGCGCTAATATCGCCTTTTCCCTCTGCTCCTCCTCCTCCTCCGCCGCCGCCGCGGCCATTCGGTCCACGAGGATTGCGACATGGTCCGGCGGCGGGGCTGTATCGGGTTGGGTGCTCGAGGCCTCGGCGGTGGCAGGCGTCGGTTCGAGGCCGTCGACGGCCGTAGGTTCGGCGAGGTTAGCGCGGCAGACAGGACAGGTGACGTGGGAGGCGAGCCAGGCGCCGATGCAGTCCGTATGAAAGACGTGGCTGCAGCGGGGGAGGAGGCGCAGTTCTTCGTCGTCATCGAATTCGCTTAGACATACCGCGCACTCCAACGATCCTTTGCCGACCTTGAGTCCCTTCACGTCCGCGTACATCAGCGTGGGGAAAGTCTCGAGCACCTCGGGGCTCAGACCCCGCTGTTGAGGCCGCACCGACCGGGCCTCGGCAGCACGGCGCCAGATGGACCCTCCAAAGTCGTCTTGGCCGGTGCAGTTGCGGACGTAAAGGGAGAAGAAGACGAGGACGAAGAAGGTGCTGATGATGACGACGATCACGATGGCTAATGTCGGGTTCAAATTCCCGTAATTGTTATCGTTGCTGCCACCGAAGGTCGGTGATGGCTGGGCGCGGGCGCACCGAGGGGTGAGGAGAAGCAAAGGGAGCAAGTAAAGAAGGGCCAGGATGGGGAGCCCGTCGATCGGACGGCCGGAGCGCTTGGTGTCCATTGACGATCCAGTAAGTTGAGCAAGACGATGGGGTGTTACCGTGTGAGGAGAGCATAAGGCGATCATAAGAAGGCCACGAAGCAGAGCAAGAGAAGAGGCCGAAGAAGCACCGGCGGTCAGGGTATCTTGCCGTTGGAACGCGACTCGAGAGACTTCTCGGTGGAGTTTGTAGTCACAGCCATACATCTCTTGTAACTAGCGGCGGCAGATGGCCCTGCCGGGGGACCCACAGGTAAATCGGTCGTTGGAGGGAGCGCGAGGTGGCGTGTTTGACTGGTTTCGGATTTAATCAAGGTGCTTGTTTTTCCAATAGAAGAAGTTAGCGGTTGGATGAGTGTGGAATTGTGGGGTCCATCACATGCACGGTGGTGATGTGGGGAATGTAGGTTTTCTAATGAACTGCAGGCCCGGAGAGGATCCGCGCCATCTGGAACGTTGGTCCGAATTGGAGTTAGGTTAATTAATTTGGTTGGCGTTCTGGTCAAGCTCGTTGACTTTTTGAAACCGAACAAAAAGACCGACGATTCCGGGGACCACCTCCGTTGACTTTTTGGAGGTCAATAGACCGGAGCAGAAGCCACGCCAAATTCTAGACGGCTGTACGTGTTGAAAGCCTGAAGGCAAAAGAACGAGGATGAGAGGGATTGCAAGGAGAATAAGATGGAGTCCAGTTCGATGGAAACCTTCCTACAAATCATCTAGAAGCAAGGAAAAACTAGATCAAATTCGAGCAGGGCACGCATCATGTTAAGATTACAAGAACATGAGACTCACGACACCGAATTTTGAGATCATGCATATATACGAGTGGTGCCATCAACATCAAAGGAAATTGCGTTCAATTTTATTTCACGAATACAAACAATGTCCAATAAATTTATATGCAAATTAGCATATATCAGCAGTGAAGTATATGCGCATGAAAGGCTGATGCGTGCAGACTGCAGAGAGAGAAAAGTAAGTGGATGCATGTGGACGTGTGGAGGAGTTATATAGCAAGCAAGTTAGTAGGTAAAGAGAGAAAGCCATGGCTATCGATATGTAAAGGTGTAGTTCTATTCCAGGCATGTAGTTATCGGCTTCCCTGTGTTTGATGATGACAAAACCTTGGGAAGAGAACAAAGGCACTTTATCCGGTCCTCAAACTCCATGTCCACATCGTGGGGGGAAACTTCGTGACTTTGGGAGAGAAAAAAGACCAGCAGTATCTTCTACTCACTTTGATTCAGATGCCGGCTGTCCAAAAAGAAGAAGTTGTTTTTGGATTAATCGTCAGAGGTTTTCACTGGTTAATTGGGTTTAGGGAGGTTAAGGATTGTCTTGCCAAGCATGTCCACGAACGGGTTTTATGCTTGAAATGAAGACGGGAGACTTTTTGTTTGTCATTATTTTGCAGAATGATGCAGATAACACTAGATTTATTCCCAAAAAAGAGTGAGATTTGACCATAAGATCGGAACACGTTATAATGGTCTGATGCAAACAAGTCATTCATGACTACAATACATAATTCAGCTCAAAATATTAAGAGTCAAACTTATGCGATTCTCTAACCCCTTCTAATCTCTATTTCACTTATGAATATTTTATTACTATCGTTTCTTATTCATGTGTAACTCAATCGTGAATCTCGTATTCACAAGAGTATGTCAAACTATAATTAGATTTATTATCTCTTTCTTATTTATGTTGTTATGATATATATGTACATAATTGACTAATTTATTCTGTCACATCGTCTAGCTTAAACTTCCATGGTTGTCAGTCAATGCAAGCAATAAACTTCGAATGATCGCCGGCTCCACCAAAGGAAAGCTCGTGCAGGCGGCAGCTGCGCGATGGGAATCTTGTCCGATGCATGAAGCTTGCAGAAGGAACATTTATGCCTTCGTGATTAGTGTAATGCTTGTGATTAGACCAAACGCAACAGTTGCGTTTCGATCTCTCCTGTTAAGACTGTGAGGAGAGATCGAAAGAAGGTTAAAGAATAACTCTAGCTCTTTGAGATAAGAGCCTTATTTCCATTACTGATCGAAATCACTAGAATTCTGATGTCGAAATACTATTTCAAGGAACTGTTGGATCGGCGATGCTCGATACCAAAGCATTTTATATGGCACAGGCATTCCCCTTTTCAAAGATGCATCGACACTGACTGATGGAGACATGAACAGTACAACTAGAAGATCATGTCAGGGAACCCTGCAGAGATGAATGACCCGAGTATGGGTAGAGATCTGTGGGAAAGTGGCCTGCCTTCATGGCGGATTGGGAAGGTGACCACCATGATCCCTGCTCTTAGCCAGACTCAACTCAAACACATGCAAGTACTCTCACCGTTCTTGCAGCGCTTTAATCTTTTACCATGAAGTCTTCTCCTCTGTGTACATAAATAACAGATGCACACCCACGCGGCGCAATCATGTTTCGTGTTCATCTCCCTTCGTCTTCTTGGATTCACGTGGGCAACCTTGTCCTGTTCCTGTTTTCTTACTGTGGTCTTTAAAGTTCCTCTCTCCTCGTGGAAGAAGACTGTCTCTCTCTCTTGCGGTGCTTGTTCCGATTCGTGTTTCCCTCAAGTGGGTGTGGATAGATACTCCCGTAGCAGCACAAAGATGGCACTGCAAGCTGTGGTCTTCCAGCAAGACCTCTTCGGTTGCAACATGAGGGAGATGCACATCAAGGGAGGGGAGATTCGAGGAGTGCTGTCACAATGTGATGTGAGCGGTGCTCAAGGTGGCAGGAATCTGTCGTTGCCGGAGATGGGAACTGATTCAGCCTCGGTCGTCTGCACGGGGACTGCGGCAGGTCGGAGGAAGAGGCGGCGCACGAGGAGTTGCAAGAACCAGGAGGAGGTGGAGAACCAGAGGATGACTCACATTGCGGTGGAGCGGAACCGTCGAAAGCAGATGAATCAGTACCTTGCTGTGCTCCGGTCACTCATCCCGGCTTCCTACCTCCACAGGGTCTGTTCTTGCTCACCTCTCATGTAGTTAACTGCTCTTAATATCTTCTTCTCCTTCAAGTCTGCACTTTCTCTGCATGTGTGGCTGGAATGTGTAGATTACGGCACAGTAGCATGTTGGCAAGTGAGACTGGTGTCATCTGGTCTCTGACGACAGAGGGATCTCACTGTCACCCTTGAGTGATGAACGTTCTCGTTCCACACGCCTTTAGATCGCTGTATATGAACAGGATCATGCTGATTTCGACATGAACAGGGTGATCAAGCATCGGTGATCGGAGGCGCCATAAATTTTGTGAAAGAGCTCGAACAACTAGTCCAGTCTCTCGAAGCTCGAAAGAGAATCAAGCAGCGATCCAATTCCGCTCCCTTCGCCAATTTCTTCACCTTCCCTCAGTACTCGACGAGGAACGCCGATGAAGCTGCGGCGGAGCAGCAGTCGCCTGTAGCAGACATAGAGGTGACCATGGTGGAGAGCCATGCCAACCTCAAGGTCCTCGCACAGCGGCGGCCCAAGCAGTTGCTGAAGATGGTGGTGGGACTTCACCTCCTCCATCTGACGACGCTTCACCTCAACGTCACCACCATTGACGCAATGGTCCTCTACTCTTTCAGTCTGAAGGTAGGGTGAGCCCGTAGTCGTTTTCACTAGATTCTGTCTCTCTCGGTACCATGACTCAGCAACTAATGAGCTCTGTGCTGCTCTTGGGTGTGCTGGGTGGTGCAGATGGAAGATGAATGCCACTTCACATGTGTCGATGAGATTGCAGCAGAAGTCCACCAAATGGTTGGGAAGATCCAAGAGGAGGCTGCCTCTGACAGTGCTGTGTGTTTGTGTTCTAACCACAACATCATGTAGGATTCTAATCCCTTGTGTTTGTTCATACCTCTGTTTGAGTGCTCAAACAAGAGGCTTGACTATGTCTCATCAAGAGCTTGGTGGAGGCTGCAAAATGTGAGCTTTATCTGTACTCAAAATCCATGGTAAGGACCCTTTTCCAAATGGCCCTGTAGCTGATGTAAGAGTTCACTAAAAGTAAGAGCAAAATGAACAGGAAATGAAAGTGTGTATAGCCCAAGGAGGAAGCAATCTTATCACTTTTATATGAAAGCTACCTTGAACTTTGTGGGGAGTTATTATGTTGTAATTTTGGGATCTCATGAGCCTTGATGTATACAGGCTAGAAAGAACTGAAGAACTGGAAAGGAAAGAAAGCCATAACTTTCTGAGCTCTGGGTGTAGTACAACTTTAGATCTTGAGGACTAAAAGTTGAAAGGCCTAGTGATTTCTCCTGCCATGTGGTTTGGTGAAAGCAGGAACTATGAGGCTGTACTTTGCAGATTCATGTACTGGTCCAGACTCAAGAGTGTCACATATGTTTAGATGATTGTGTTGCAAACCAGCTAATTGATTGATGCAGTCATCAACAGGTTCTACTATTTCTCCATATTATTCTTTCTTATGGAGCAAAGAAGGAATCACTAGAGAGCAGAGTGCCAAATAAACTGAGCATGTTCTATATTGGCATCTTTCATGGCATGGATTATGGATAAGATAATTTGAGTACTCTACTCATCTAGATGAAGGGTATAAGACTGAGATTGACCAAGTTTAAATCATGACAAAGTTAGAACTCGAGAATAAGATTGTAACAACAAAACAAAAACACAGAAACCAATTATTCTTAACTGATGCAGAGATTTAAAGGAACTTTTGTCTAGAATTTATCCATGGTGGAAGTAAACCTAAAATTTATCATCAGACTTGCAAAGAAATATTAGGTTGTGGGGCAACATGTTTAGGTAATACCCCAGAACCCGAAAAATAGTGCAGGTGGATAAGAACAGAAAAGAAACCTTGAAACTTCTGATGGGGACTACAATAATCCATGATTACCTTATACCTAATATTGATGTCCAGGTTGCCTCAGTTTTATATTGATTGAGACTTTGACATCTTGCTTCCTGAGAATCCTAACGTTCTGTCAATTGTCCTGTCTTTAGGGTGGCAGCTCAAAAAGGAATCCTTCAGAAGGTGGATCAGACTCCACAGAAAAGGGCCAAACTTCTACTTCAGATAGATCTGTAGGATCAGACCAACCCAATGTTAAGACGTAGGGATGTTCATAAGCTAATTATTCCTTGTTAACATTTGGCAGGGATGCTAAAATTTTCAAGTGGAATTAGATCAGCAAGAACTTTCATAATTTACCAAAATTGAGTTTTTTGGTATCACAAACTTGATTAATTTTCCTGATATGTATTGCATAAGAATTTATGCTAAGAGACTGATTCCTCTTTTGCAAAAGCAACAAAGAGAGTGGCATAACAGTTGTTAAGAAGATGATCATAGATTACAAAGGAACAGAAAAAGTAAATAAAAAGAGTTAATTTATGAAATTAGACTTCCAACCATAAATACTGAAAAGACTACATCTTCTTCTAGTCATTTGATGTTGCATTTTCAAGGTTGGAGTTGAGAAGAACATTTTGCTGACCTAATTGCTGAGAGATAATTGCCCCCATGTTGGACCAAAACATGTAGGTTTGTGTACTTGAAACAATAAACCTCTCACTAATATTTTCTTGAACAGTTGATGGAAAACCTACATACAGAACAGAGTTTGATAAATTATCAACAAACAATATTTATGGTACTAATAAAAATAGAAAGTAAGTGTTAAAATGTCACCATGTTTAGCAAAATATCAATGAGAAGTTTTCATGTGGATGGTCTCAAGTTTAGCGAATAATATCTGTCAATGCAGAGCATTATCTGAAACTAATTATCCTTTAAATTAGGAGATATGCGACTCTAGTGCTGAACCAAGAGAATTTTTTTCTACTTCAGCTTTTACTCCAATATAACTAGTGGGAGAAAAGAAAAAAGTAAAACAAAGAACCTTTGTAGATAAAGAAAATGCTGGAACATGAAACACAAATATATCTGATGCTTCAATCGAAAGATCTAAAGGAATGTAGAACTTGACCTTCTCTAACATTCCCTGCAAGTAGTCAGAGTGATTCACACAGAGGTAACAGAGAAAGACAACCATCAACTAATGAAGCCAAGAGAAGGAGATTTAGAAATATGTTTAACCAAATATATGAGCTTGTCCCATCAATTCTGAATATAACCATACAACAGGAAATAAAGTAAAGCATGACAGAAGATGGAACAGAGAATTATTTGGCACCTAAACCGAAGCAGACAATTAGAAGAATGTATCAAACCAAAAGTCTATCACTAATCGAGCTAGCAATCGGCGATAGTCGATGCCAAGTACGTAGCTTTCATCATCTAAGAGGAAAACTATTTGCTTGTCAGCTCAGCTTCATCTTCTTCAGATGAGAATCTAGAAATTTGGGGCTTCTTCGATCTATATGATCATGTAGGGACACAAGCGTTGATGTTGGTGCAGCTGCAAGTCCTGGTTCTAGAATTCCATTGTCTAAGCATCGAAGCTTGGTAAGAAATGTTGAAACTTTGTATCTTCTTCGCTTTCCTTCTTTGCAACCATTCTCCTGTAGGGTTTGTGATTCTGAACATTGCCATTGGAGGACTTCTCTATGGCGCTTACCCTCTGCATTCACCATTGTGTTGAGCTGTCAACCATTCATCGGTTACACTGTATCTGTTTGGTGTAGCAGGTGATCATTCATCCCCCATGTACTTCTTACGTGACAGGGTGTGGATCAGGTGTTACATCTATCCGAAAATAGAAGCTTAAAAGTCCACTAATACTATCCACGTGCAACAGATCAACGGTGAAGAGTTTAATCATTGGATGAACCACCAACGTGTGATCCGAATGTAACAACACGTCGCCATGAGACGCAAGGATGCGGTGACCGGATACCACCGTGTGTGTGGTTTATACGGCCATTTCCTTGCTTACCTTTCTCGTCCCTTTTCCGTATCGGACACCTCGCTCCCTCTCTTGCGCATGGAGAGCTCCGCCCTCCCTCGCCCCGTCACCTTCCCCTTACCTGCCCGCCCCACCGCCCTCCTCCGCCACCGCCAACTCTCTGCCTTCCGCCTCCTTCCACATCACTCCTCCCCTATCTCTTACCCCCGCCGCGCACTCTCCCATCTCCCCCTCCCCCTCGCCCCGTGCCGCGTCAAACCCTCCCTTCAACTCGTCCGCGCCTCCTCCTCGCCTTCGATCGCCGCTCCAAACCCGGAATCCACTCCGGCGCCGTCGCCGCAGCCGGCCCAGGGGGCGAAGCCGGTGCCCCTCGCGATCTCCCTCGCCGTCGGCCTCGCCGTTCGGTTCCTCGTCCCGCGACCCGTCGAGGTAACGCCGCAGGCGTGGCAGCTCCTCGCCATCTTCCTCTCCACCATCGCTGGCCTGGTGCTGAGCCCTCTGCCGGTGGGCGCCTGGGCCTTCATTGGCCTCACTGCCTCGGTTATCACCAAGACTCTGACCTTTTCGGCGGCCTTCGGGGCATTCACGAATGAGGTTATCTGGTTGATCGTGATCTCGTTCTTCTTCGCTAGGGGGTTCGTCAAGACCGGGCTTGGGGATCGGATCGCCACGTACTTTGTGAAATGGCTTGGTAAGAGCACATTGGGGCTGTCGTATGGGCTTACGGTCAGCGAGGCTTTTATCGCCCCTGCAATGCCGAGCACCACAGCAAGAGCCGGTGGAGTGTTCTTGCCTATCATCAAGTCCTTGTCCCTCTCGTCCGGGAGTAAGCCCGGGGATCGTTCGGCCGGGAAGCTGGGTTCTTATCTAGTCATGTCTCAGTTCCAGGTCAGGGCCTCTTCTTGTTTGCTGGGTGTTACGTCGTTCGCACTTCTCCTCTTTGCTCTTTGTTGGAATATATGCATGAAACAGTTGTTTTTCAAGAAAACTATACCTGTTGTCAATTAACTGTAAATGACACCCTGTTAGATACTGAAGCAACCTTTTGTTTATTTTTCTTGTTCTTGCTTCCTTTCATAAGAGGAATTTATCAACCTACGGAGTTTATCATTCTTATGCATAAAATGGCTATTAAAATTTTTTTTTCTGAAAATCCTAGTCACACCGTAAGGACCAATGTCATGCACACCAAAATTTATTTTATGATGACATCATGTCTACTGCCTTCTATCTGTTGTAAGCTCCGACTTAGATATCACTGCTGCCTTGACATGGTGTTCCTAGAGCTCGCTTGATTGGCATGAAGGAATGATGCTTTTGTCAGTGGCATATGACTTCAATTGCAGGATGGCAACACAAGTGCCTCCAATTTCCCCAAGAAAGTGTCTACTGATGCCATCTCACTTTTTTATCTTCACCATCATGTTGAATAGATATCTAAGTGTAAGCTCATTGCCTGTGGCACATGTATTGATAGATGAACAATATGATATTCTTTTAGGTTGGTGTTGATTGTCTTAAACTTTGTTAGATACCAAATTATTAGGAATTAAACTCCCTAATCCGTGCTTCTCTGGTTTCAGAAAGAAAACTAGGCTTACAAGAGATCAATTGAACTAAAGAGATAACCTAATTATTGGAATGATAAGAAAAGCAGACAATGTTCTTTAGTAGAAGAGGATTACATGTGGTTTGTTGGCCTGGCCCTTGGACAAAGTCCAAATTGGACAGATATGCTGCTGTCCGGCTTAGGATATATTCGATGACTGTCATCTGATTGTGAAATCATGAAACAAGAATCTTAAGCTTGCATCTGCTTATCATATTGGATGGTTCAGTCTCATGCTAACTCAGTTTGATTGGTTGGGCTGTTGCCCTGGGCAGAAACTGGGAAGGAAAAGGTGGCTTGGCTCGCATATTGCGAGCACGATTGTGGACAATGATGGCCGTTGTGGGTGCATGCCACATGGGAGAGTTTCTGTACAACAAATGGTCTCTAATGCTGGTTTCCTCCCACTCTACCTGAGATGATGAAGTTGGTAAGGGGCTTGGAAACCATATCCTCTGTGGGATCTTCTTTTGGATCTGAACAGATTTTTGGTTTTTCTTTTGGGTTTTATGTGCGATCTTTATATGACAGGGGTGTTCATTGGATGCCCCAACCATGACATATTCATGTTAGTTAACTGGAAATGCATGGTGATGATATTAAGTGTTCTTATGTTCCTTGTCAGAAATCAATAGATGGACATGTCAAATAGTTTCAAGGGTCACGAATAGTGACCTTTATAGCATGAGAAGAAACTTAAAGGTAACAATGTGGTGACAATGTTCTGCATCATATTTTTTAAAATTCAAGAACTGGTAAAATAGCAGTTGCTTTCTATCTTTTCTTTATTGAGTTCATTATTTATCATCATATGCTTTATTGCGCTTGAGGTTGTAGATTTTCATATATCCCTTGACCTCAATGGTATTCTTAACATGAAAAGCTTATTTAACTTTTGATGGTCATCAGATAGCTGTCATAGTAAGTCCACAGGCATTTATTGCCAGCTAGTTTATATCATGCAAGTCTGTCTAAATTATCTGTACCAGAAAATAATGAGATTCCTTAGATAATCTTTAATATCAAAGATATTGTCCAATAAAACTTTTCAGGCATCTGTTACTTTCAGTTGATTGGATTTTCTACTATACAGTTGATAGGCTAAAATTTCTGCATACATTTACACAACTTACGAAATTCATACTTAACTTGCTATGCTTGATTAGGGTTCTCTTTTGTCAACTTCAGGATGTTTTCTTTTTTTTGTATGAGTCACTTTCTTTTTAGTTGCATATTGTCATGTAACCTGTTAATTGTGCTTATCTTAGCTTCAATATATTTTCTCACTCTATCTTGTTCTACTTCTCAATACCATAAACAAGCTGCAAATAATCAACTCACTTGTTTGACTCCTATGATCCATCAGAGTTTTTTTTTTTGGTGCATGACAGGCAGCTTGTAACTCTAGTGCGCTCTTTCTAACTGCTGCGGCACAAAATCTATTATGCCTAAAACTGGCTGAGGAACTTGGTGTTAAGATCTCAAGTCCATGGGTATCATGGTTTAAGGCTGCAAGTTTACCAGCTATTGTTTCACTTCTGGCTACTCCATATATCCTATATAAACTGTTTCCTCCTGAAGTGAAGGACACACCAGATGCACCAGCTTTGGCTACAAAAAAACTGGAACAAATGGGACCTATCACAACAAATGAATGGGTGATGGTTGGTACCATGGTTCTTGCAGTTTCATTGTGGGTCTTTGGGTAAGTAATTTATATCTGTGCTAATTATGAAATATTCATTTCTCACTGCAAGTACTCTCCGTTGGTACGAGGTGTTTTTGGCATTTTTAGGCATAATACATAAAGTTTGAATTTTTGTGCATAGTTGTTATCCGATTACAACTAGGATTTCTTCATGTGACACTTTAAAATGGTAACATAAATCATCCCTTATAGCTAGGATGAGTTTTTTTCCTTTTCTTTTTGAGGAAAAAAAAACCTTTTCATTCACTACTAAAAATCAACTACGTTCTATGCAAAGAGGACTATTGATGTTCGACCTCCAAAAAGAGAAGAACCCATTCATTCTCCCAAATTTGGCTTAGTTCATGAGCCAAGCATTTAGGTTCCTAGGTATGTAGTTGACTTGTGAAACATGTAGGCTACTAAACAAAAACTTCATATCAGAGCTTGTTAAATTAGAGATCCAAGTCTTCCTTGCATCTTAATGATTTCATTATGCTGGTGCTACTGGAACATGCAGGCAAACAGTTTCTATGAACACTCAGATTCTGCAATGATGAAACAGTATATACAAAGGAAAAATAAGCTAATAATGCTGCTAGAATGACAGACACTGGAAAGGAAGATCAAGGAGACATAACTGATATTTCAAAGAGAAGAGGGAGAAGGGCAGATAGAAGCACTATAGTAGGATGTTATTATTTCTCTACTAGAAAGCCCTTTTCTCCTTGGCTAACTACCACATTCCACAAGGCTTGAATTTCTGTTGGCAATCTATCAGAAGAGCATGGTTCAGTTATTTTGATTGCCTAAATCACCATTCAACTGAAAAGAATAACTTTTTACAGTGCTAACTGACTTCCTACCACTAACTACAGCATAGTGTTTTCAAATTGACTTACTAAGCTAATCCAAGAATGACCTGATTGACCTTTATGTGTAAACCTAAATAACTCAAATTTAATATAACATCATGTCTAACACAATACAGGCTTTCTGTGTTACCAAGAGGGCTGGCTAGCTGTTTATGGAACATTTTTGCTACACATCCTGACTAAATGGTAAAATAGCAAACTTGTTTTTCTCAAAATATATCCTATGAGATCTACCACGAGCAAAACATCTGAAGTTATAATGTTTTTCTATATTTCAAGTCTTGAATAGTTCTTATTATGCTGTGATCAGTTTTTTTAAAAATAAAAACGTGTAGATATATGCATAAATGACACATATAACCTCACATGGATTACCTGTATACATATTTATATCGTGAGATTATAAAATGTATTGATGTAAGATAAATGAATAGTAGAAAATGTTGAGGGTTGTTAAAGGAAATAGAAGAACAGAAAACTCTGATAATTTTTCATTCAAGATCATTGCCTTTAGTTCACGTTACTTTAAAGATACCTTAGCAGATCTTTATGTTAGTGAGTCTAGTAAAATACTGTAGCTGTTTTATTTATTTTCAGCAATTAGTCATTGATTTTTTATCACTTTGTTGCATTATTCTATCATGAAATTCATTTTGTATGAGCAAATTGTTTTGTGCAGAGATGCCCTTGGAATACCCAGTGTTGTTGCAGCAATGCTTGGACTATCCATCCTTCTACTTTTGGGTGTTTTGAATTGGGATGATTGCCTAAGTGAAAAGTCTGCATGGGATACCTTGGCTTGGTTTGCTGTTCTAGTTGGAATGGCAAGTCAATTGACAAATTTGGGGATTGTGACATGGATGTCAAATTGTGTGGCCAAGTTTCTTCAGTCTTTTTCCTTAAGCTGGCCTGCAGCTCTCAGTGTTCTTCAAGCATCCTATTTCCTCATCCATTACTTATTTGCAAGTCAGACTGCTCATGTAGGAGCCCTGTACTCGGCATTCCTTGCCATGCATTTGGCAGCTGGTGTTCCCGGTGCATTAGCAGCTCTTGCTTTGGCATACAATACAAATCTTTTTGGTTCATTGACACATTATAGTAGTGGTCAGGCTGCTGTATACTATGGAGGTATTTTCTTCTTCGGTCTGTTGTATCTAGTTTTTTAATCATATTGTTTTTTGTTTGTCCAAATAAATGTTAAAATCTATAGCTGAAATAAAATTGCTTAAGAAAGAACTATTTAGAAAAAAGACATCAGAGTAACATTCTGTATTGAAATACCACCAAAGTGAATTAACATGTGAAAGATTCAATTGCTAGATCTTGTCTCGATGAAGATTGAAGAATTGTAAGCTCTGACTTGGTGGCTCAGATGGACTATTATAGTTCTTTCCCTTGGACTTAATTTGAGTCTCCTTATATTGCTGTTCTATGCTGTCTCGTTATGTGGTCATGTACGTATGAAAGATAATCTCCATGTGTTGTTTAAATGAGTGCTCTTTTCTTTTTTCTGCAGCGGGATACGTCGAGCTTCCTGATGTATTCAGGCTGGGTTTCATAGTGGCTGCAGTCAATGCCTTGATCTGGGGAGTCGTTGGTACTTTCTGGTGGAAATTTTTGGGACTTTACTGAATATGGTAGTGGTCCATCACAAAGAAAAGGATTCCTGCTTCACCAATGATGCTCATCCTCCACTACATAAATAATTCTGGAGAAACTCTATCTGCTCTTTCCTTTCGGTCTTTGTGGTCCAAAGCTTTGATTGTTAGAAGGATCCAGTCATTCAATTCACTATCAGGTAACCTAATGTTCTTTCCAATCTCTATATGAATGATTTTTCTTGTTAATGTCAGTGTTTATGATGGAACATGCATTTGCAGAAACTCAATTGATTTCTGAAAGATCAGATGAGGAGAGCATTTCTTTTTTGCTACAAATGTTGGTAATATGAAATTGGCCCTTCTCATTTAATTTCATACCGTTCTATATACTTGGATATATCATAAACTTTGCCTTTCTTCTCTTGCCTCGATTGGCCTTACAGAACCTTTTATGGTGAAAATTTATTACCTTAGATGTCATGCCATGATTCTAACATTTCAAGCCCTCTTTTACACAACACTATAGCTTGTTCAGGTAGTAGTTGGACTTTATAATAGAAACTTTTGTAAGGTCTACATGTTACCATAAGATATAATGTACTAGTACTTGTTCTCTATTCATAAACTAAATCATGGGCTTTGAAGAACCAAATTGTGGTCAGTTAACTAATGGTTTTGTTATCAAATTCATGGGAACCAAGATCAAGTCTACATCACAGGGCTAAATTATGGGTAATGGATAGGGATCTCTGTGGAGTTTGATCATCCAATAGGTGTAACCCGCATTTGGTGTGCAAGTTTTTAACAATTATCGATACATTGTCATGGCAGCTAAAAACTCAACGAAAAGGCAATATCGAAATTAGTTTAAATCATCAATTAGATTAAATGTTGAACATATCAGAGTGATTCCAACTCAGTAAAGTGTTCATTCACGTTGCAACCCCATGTGTATCAGTTCATTTTTCAATTGAAATCCTAACTTTTCAGTTCACTTGGATTAGGATAACCTTTTCTGGGATGAACTTGTGGGTGTGCAATCGTGCTAGTTAATCCAATAAAATGAAACTGATGCAATTTGTTTCAGATTATTTTTAATGTAATTGGTTTGGTATGAAAAAAAAAAATTTGAATGAAATGTCATTTTTTTCACTTGCGAAGTATACGGATTGAGTTGAATAGAACATTATACTGTAAATAGTGCCAAGATCAGCAATTTTTAAATTCAATAAAAATCAAAAGTTAAAACAATTTTTTTTTAATTTAATTTTGTTCTTGTTGTGTTTTGTTCTTTTTTTATGTGTTTTAGACGTTACGTGCATATTTTATTTGGCTGATTGAATGGGAAAATCCTCTCAAATATTAAAAAAAAAAAAAAAATCAGCTACTTAGACGCTGGTGCTTTTTAATGCCATGTTATAGTTGGATTCGGTCTATAGTTCATTAAACAAAACAGGATTAATCGCTCCTTACGATCCGTTATGCTGAATCTTGTTTTTCTCTCATTGCATAATGTGTTTACTTTTCTCAACGTCTTGTCCATAAAGTAAAATTTTCGAAGCAGCGATACACTGTGTCAGCCGACTGAGTCAGGACTGATGTCATGATGATACCTGTAAGGATCAGGAAGGCTTGCTTTCTAACCGTGCTTGTAAAACTCGAATCGGATGGATTTGATTTGGTTCGCAAATAAGATCGTATGAGTTAAAAAAAAAAAAAATCTTATTTTTAGTTATAATATTTGAAATTTTATATTTTAAAAATAAAAATATAGTTATATTTGTCGTTGCTGCAGACTCGATCCTCGGTATTCCAAACAAGATGTTCTGGACGACCTCGGGTCATTCACATTTGAATTTTTAGGATATGCCTTCTTCCGGGTATTAACTCCTTAATAAACTTTTCTAATTATATTACACTAATTATTATTAATTAATTTGTAAATTATATATATACATACTATTGAATTTACTATTCTATCCGCTGATTCAACTAATTACCTCGTGATCTGATGATGTTTTGCTTCTGAATTAATCCCAAACACGAGGACAATGTTGGCCATCTTGGGGGACCAAATTGCATCTCCCTCCAATCAGCCGCATTTGCTCTACAGGATGTTGAAATCGCTTTAACAGCCAAACGTAGTTAGTTGATTGATAAAAGAACAGAATTATTTGGGCATATGAGAACATGCTGAGATTTGGTACATCTATCGTATAAAGGGGTTATGCTTGAGAATGATGGGTCACGAGACCAGCAGGGACACGTAACACGTGAGGGGGGCAGCACACGAGCGAAAAGCTCGCTGTGGGGATCCATTTCCAACGAAGATGAGAGAGCGTATGAGTGGGCGTGGGCGCACGTGCACGACTTTTGAGGCGAGCGCAGCTTCCGCGCTCGTGCGAGGGCCTTTCGCCGGCCTTGGTGCCCACGCAACCTGCCGATTCCTCGGCAAAAGATCGCGAGGTGAAGGTGAAGCCCCGTCCGCCTGCGTCCACGTCTGCCTATTTATTACACGTTCCTGATCAGATACGCACCCGTTTTCGGCCATTTGAATATACCCAAGAAACACCTTGGAAACAAGTGGGCCCCGTTGTAGGTCCCCAATAACAATCGGATAGTTCAACGGGTAACAAACTTTGACGTATCGGTAGGTTTCAGCAATCGTGCTGTCGCGATTCACGTAAGAGTAACGAAGAATGTGTGGGGGAAAAGCAAGTGACTTTTCCAATTACAGGACGGCGACCACAAAGCAATTGAGAATCTCCAACTTTGAACATCGATTTTTTTTTTATATATATTCTTTTTTCCACGAAAATGATTGTTCCTCGCTCATCTATAAATTCACAAAATTCCCCCTCTTTTTTATTTTTATTTTTATTCTTTTCTTTCGAAGAGGGATGGATTACCTTTAGTCATTCTGCATCTTAATCTGTAGTAAACTTGGTTTAGTGAAAGCCTACAAACAGATAACGATAGCTTGGCCATTTATTAAAGAAAAAGGGTCATCATATTTACGAAATTTAAAGGACAATGAAGGACGTGTACGAAATCACAACAAATCACATTTTGGATTGCGTGAACGACGGTGTGAATCAAGACAACTCACGTGGATTGACTGGCACTACAAAGTTGGTCGAGTGTACAAACAATCAATCTGAATTGATAAGATAATTAATCATATTTTAATATTTTATTTCATTTTATTTTATTTTTATCAAAATATAAATGATTTCAACTCAGAATTTTTACCTCTGAACAGTAGTATCTTTTGTGGATACACTGCCGAATAATAATATCTTTTGAGTGAGTTATAGGAAAGAGACTGACTTGCTGATTCACTGCCATTTGAATCCTTCAGAAGAGATTTGACTGAGTCACTGCCACATAAAATTTATTTCGAATATTCCAAGTAAGAAAAGGTTTACTGATTCATCGCCAAGCACTGTTTTGAAGCTTTCACCAAAGAGAAATCTGACCGATTAAAGTTTATGTTTGGGGGAGTTTTAGGGAAAAGTGGACTTCACCGATTCAATTAGTGCTGAGTAGATACAGACTTGTCTTGCCAATCCACCTGACGAGTTTTTGGCGATCAATACGCGCTGCTCACCGACTTGGAATTCCTGCGGTGTGCTGTCGCAGCCACAGCCACAGCCAAACCAAACACACCGCATGGGAAGTCATCGATGAAGTATCCGAGAAGCTCTCCCCCTTCCCACCTATATATCTCCCCCGACCCCATGCAATGCAATGGTGTCGTTGAGCTCCAGAGAAGGGAAGAGGGGTGATGGGGAAGCCTGCGACGAGCGGCGGCGGCGGCCGGTGCAAGCGTCACCCGAAGCACCGGCAGGCCATCGGCGTCTGCCCTTTTTGCCTCCGAGAGCGGCTGTTCCACCTCACCCACCACTCCTCCGCCTCTTCCTCCTCCGCTGCACCTGATCTCTCTTCCTCCTCCGCCTCCTCCTCGCCCTACTCCTCCGACTCCGACCTCTCCTCCGCCGCTTCCTCGCCTCCGCGCCACCACTACGTTAAGAGAGCGCGGGTCTCCCTTCTTCTCAGACGCGAAGCAGCAGCACCAGCAGGAAGAGGTCTTGGCGGCGGCTGCGGCGGGCTGGCCAAGAGCCGGTCCATGGTCCTCGTCGCCAGAGGTCGCAAGGAGGAAGGCAAAGAGAAAGAGGAGACAGGTCTCGATCAAGAGAAGGAGAAGCTGAAGAAGAAGAAGAAGGAGAAGTTTTGGTCTAAGCTGTTGAGCGGGTCGAAGAGGAGGCAGAAGAAGGAGGGTGGTGGTGCTGCCTTGATGCACTCGCAGACCTTCAAGGAGAAGCCTTCTGCAAAGTGGGTCTTCTTCTCATGAGAAGAACCTTTCTGCCTCCATTATAGTTGGACTATACTGGTATTAGTTTTGTGTTCCGCAAGTAATCTGTACAGATGAAGGGAATTAAAAGAAGAATTGTTTCTGTAGAGCTTATTTTATATTCAATTCTTGGTAGGAAGACAGCAATCCAATTTTGTTTGCTGACTTGCCAATAGACAATAAGATTGGCTTCTTTGAGTACCAAATCAGAATGATAGATTTGGATACAGAGAGCTAAGTATTTTTTTTGTTTTTCCTTTATTGTTCTCCATGTGTTCATTTCATCGCTTGTGTTAAATCTATGATTTGATTTAAAATGCAAGTAAAGCAGTAATTGATTTCCTAATTTGTTCTCTCTTTCTCTCTCTTGTGATTTGATATTTTTGACTCATTATTTACCTCACTAATTAAGCCTAATATATAGTTTTATCCAAACATTATCCCTAACTAATGAGGAAAAATGATAAATGGATGGCTTTATGACCAGCCATTAAAAGTTGAATAGAGCTTGTGGCAATAAAGATTTAGATTTTGTCCCCCAGAAAGATAGCTTTTGCCTCTCCCTTTTCTTTGATTGTAGAAATAGTTAGGAAATTAAATTTCTTTTGTAGAAGTTAAATGATAAAATGATTGAGAGAAGGAATAAAAAAAGTGTTTTTTTTGTTTTAGTCTTTTTTTAAAGAAAACAGTAAAAAAAATTCATTTTTTGTGATACTTTAAAATATTAAAATATTCTTGGGGTACTTTATCTCTCTTAAAGAAACTTAGTTACCCCAAGAATATTTTCCTATGTGAATTTTGTACTATACAAGCATATAAACTGATTTAGGTATTTAATGATTGATAATACTAAAATCATACTTATTCCAAAGGTAAATTAACTCATAGATAAGATAGATCTTATGTGGTATCTATCATATAAGGTTGTTATAATACGTGACAAATTGATCCTCTCTTTTGCTCCGACATAAACACTCCGTAAAGATTCCATCAAATCGATTAATGATAGTGAGCCCATCTAACTTATACACTTTCATAACCACCCTTCCACTTCTTAACATGTTTGCTTATGTTAGATGTGATTTAAGATGCTTAAATCAAACCTAATGATAATTAACTCAACTAACACCATATACTTAAATCATATCCTAAAGCTACCTTATTGTGGGTAACTTAAATCAGAATGAAACACAGATGAATAGATCAAAAATATATATATTATTTTCTTTTCTAGAAAATTGAAAAGTTAGCTTTGCAATGGAAGAATTTTATTCACTTAAAGATTGATCATTCACAACTAAAACTAGCAATAACAAAAGTGTTTAGTGATTTGGAGGAGATTGGCCATAAAACAAAACTGTAATATATATATATATATATATATATATATATATATATATATATATCTTAGTAGCTTGTATAAGTATACATAGGTTTTAGGCTGGTGAAACAAGAAGAAATAGATGTAATACAAAGTAAAATCCCTACAAAATGGTATGAGACATTATGATACAATAGACAAGGACTTCACAACTATACATTGTACTGGCTGGTCCCACAGGGAACAAGTTCATGTAATCAGACAAGTTGGCAATGGAGAGCTTCCAAGAAGCCACCTTTCATTTCATCTCAATTCTAGCCCTCACCAAGTGACCTTCTCAGAAGAACCCATGTCTCACTTGTCGACAAACTTGTTCATCCAAACCGGCCAACCAAACACAAAGCTTGCACAAGAGATGTTGACCATCTCAGCTCTCTCGCGCACACACACATATAATGCCTCCAAATACATTAAAGCCCAGCAAGTGACGGTGAAATGAATTTACCCATCTCTCTCATGGTCACTTGGCCATCAGTCTCTCTCTCCGGAAAAATGCTCTTAGCTTGAGATACAATACCAATACTGTTGGAGAGAAAAGCTAGATTTCAAACCAGCAATACAGTCTTTCAGGTTTTCTCCCACCTTCTCTAGATCTACCATAAAGAAATATATGATTACAAGTGTTTTCTCTTCTTTTTCCTATCAAGATTTAAACTTGCATATGATATTTATTTCCTACTTGTATTCTTTATTAGTTTCGGGAATATAAAAACACTTGTCAACTAAAATAATTACAAGGGTGGAGGGATGGTAGAGACTTACATCAATTCTGTCGTTAGTGTTTAGATCCTTTCTCCTCTTTGAGATAGAGATTCATGTGCATCAATATATTTAATTTATATGTCAATATAATGTCATTCTAATGGATACAATGCTATGTTGTATAGAACTTATAGGATTGCTCATCTTCTTTACTAGTGCATACTTGATGGATTGCCAACCATTTGGCCTCCCATGATAGCCATCAACGAATGAAACTATCCGATGACAAACGGTGGAGAAGTGTAGTCACACAAGGTAAGCAATCTCCCAAATCTAATTAAGATCCCTCTTTCATTCTACAGATGAGTATTATTATTTAGGTAATTCTCTGAGTTCATTTTCAGAGAAAAAAGACCAAGTAGATGAATAAGAAAGCAGTCCATCTTCATGACAAATTCTACAGATGAGTATTGTTTTGGTAATTCTTTGAATTCATTTAAGAGAAAGAAGACTAAGCAGGTAATTATTTGACATGGTTGAGAAGGTAGACTTATAATCTAAACTTACAAAAGTTATGCCATATCATAGTTGGGCAATTTGACATGGTCAGACCCGTACCTTGTTCGAGTTCTACTCATTTCAACTTTCGTGCAGCTATAACAATCTGAGTTAGCTTCCATCTCCGTGATATGACATGCATCTATCTTTTGGTCACTCAGATATCAACTGCAGCAATAGCCACGCATGGTCGCCTTTTGACTTGCAGAAATAGAAAGTAGAAGACAGCCACTCCATCTCAGCTTCCTCTGGTGGCCATGTCTGCCTTTATTCCCTTTGCCAGAGACATTCTCTGTCTCCAGATGTTTGTGATGTGTCCACTCGACTCAAATGTCATCCCCATTCATCGACCTTCCAAAGTAAACTCATGTTTCATTCCTTATACAAGTACTACAACACCTAGTTGATTGCACTCTCATCTTAGTTATGTTATTGCATGCGAGGAAGGTACAGAGTGCAGACAAGATCATTTATTAGGCTATAGAGACACTATTGCTTGGCTTCCAGCTCATGGGACTATTCATAAAGAGACTAATCGACTGGAGTAGAATGGTCGCAGAAGCTGTCATCTGTTCTTTATGTCTAGATCATCGACCGGCAGATGAACTTAAGCAGCAGCAGCAGCAGTAGGCGTGGCAAAGCCGGCAACTTGTTCCGTTCTCTCGAGCGGTACTGCCGTAAGATCCCCATCAGATGGCAACACCACCACCTGCATCTTCGTCTCAGTTTTTTGTTTTCTTTTTTCGTTCAATCGAGCTTCTGCCTCCCGACTTAACTCACGACTCATGGCTGACTGTTCTGTACTTGCACGACTTGGGATACCACAAGAGCTATGATATGATCAGTTTTGATATGTGACTTGACAATCTAATCTATTTTCCTACTGTTGTAATATTGGAAAGAGCAAAAAAAAAAAAAAAACTGGTTGGAAAGAATTTCACCTAAAGTGTAAAAAAATTACTTTATATCACATATCTCATATCTTCAGGGAAAAAAAAATTCTCATATATATATTAATCCTTTTTAGAGTTGATTTTGAGTTGCTTAAGCTAGAAACTTAAACATATATATTACTTGGTTTCAAATCGAACTTTAGGAAATTTGCTAAGCTGAACATCACAAATCCTGTCAAACTAATTCGAAGATATTCTTAACAATATCTCTCTTATGTTTAAGTCAGTACTTAAAGTCGGGTGAGTCAGACAGGTTAAACTAGTTGAATAGGTCGGACAGGTTGAGAGCAACGTTACACGGTTTGTTATTATGAATTGTAACCATCTTTACTGACTCTAAATAGTTGCACTTGCCTGTTAGACTAGCTGGAACTGGTCCATAATATTTATTGGGCTACTTACATGTTTTCTCCGTTGGATATGTGTCAATCAATGGTTCACACATGTGGTGTTACAAATTCAGCTACATAGGACACTGATATGTTAGCCAAGTTTTATCCACTATAACACATGTCACTCACTTCTCGGGTCAAGGAGCATTATGAAGTCAGGTTAGCAAGTACCACTCTTTTAAGGTCCTTTGTCGATGCAAAAAAAAATGAAATATTAAAATATTTAGTCTTGAGTTTCTCATCAAGTTGGCATGAATCAATATGATTGACTCGACCTATTAGACTTGGTTGGCCCTACTTGGTTTTTTTTGACTTAATTGGTCTGACTTGATCCTCCCAACATGACATACTCCTTATCGATTCAAAGTACTAGAAATAGCAATGAAGTGGAAGGGGATGACTAGTCAAGACAATACGATGACGTCGCAAGTAGGCTCTTTATGGTAATAATATAATTCCAATGATGGTTGAAGTCTTATACGAGGATCGAAAAGTCAGAGTTTAGATGGATGACAATGTAATGGTTCATAAAAGTTGGGGATGATAGCATGCAGAGGATCGAAAGCTATGTTGGGTGGCATGCTATGGGCTAAAAGACCAGACGTAATGACAAGCCAAGCTAGAAGGCTAAGTGTAGTGGTAAACAAAGAGCCAGGATACTAGGTGCTATGGCGTGATAAGGGTCTGCACCAGTATAATATAATGGTGTAGGAGCTTGGCCAAGGCACGTGCTAGGCAAATTCCCTTTTTAACAAGCAAGAGAATCTAGGTGGATCCGACAATGGCTTGATAGTTGCATGACGCATACCTACCTACAATAAAAGGGGGGCCATGCTGGAATCATTTATTGATGCATGGCCATTATAGGGATCATGGTGGATTCGATCATGATTTCTGTGATGATCCGTCTAATTGTTGCAACATGGGGATGGTACCACATGACCCAGGTTATGTGGATGGTGTCACACGTCCCACCTCATCCAATACTATTCAGGAATTGAATAGATGGCCAAGCATATGAAATACCTCCGTTGGGTTTGTGATACCCTAATTAATCTCACATCGGAAGTGGGCAAATACTAAGTTTGGCTTATAAGGGTCTGATGAGTATATTACATTAACTCAAGCTTAAGCATTTTGGTTATGGTTTGGACCAAATGGAGTTATTAGCCAGTCAGCCCATCACACTCAGGTCATGACATTTGGTATCAGAGCCGACCTAGTATTTGGGGAGGGTGAGAGGGTTTGAGTAGGAAAGGGTTACCTGTGGATGGAGTCAGAGAACTTATCACGACACTATGCTAGGGTTCAATCTGGGTTATGTTGGGCCTTGACGAGGAC